TGGATACTGTGTTTCCCCAGTACTGGAAAGCTGAAAGCAAGGGAAGAAAAATACACACTGGTTCGTAACTCTTACAGCACATGTCTAACACACCTTGCACGTGAAAATATTTAACCAGCTCTTCACATTCCTTTCCATCTCTTTCAGGTCGCTGCAGAACTGGCTGCCAAAAAGGAGATGGCTTTGCAGAAAAAAGCCCAAAAGGGGAAAAAAGAAAAAGAAGAAGGGAAGGAAAAAGTAAAAGGAAAAAAACCACAGAAAACTGGAAAGAAAGTAAGCCTTCCTGCAGTAAAAACAGTTAGTTTGTGAAAACAGAGCCAAAGTCCAGCTTATTCAGCCATGTGTGGGCAGAGGCTATTAATTTACATTAGACTGGTCACCAAGGCTTCAGGCTTGGGTTCAGAAGACAGAGGAACTGGCTGAGGCCAGTCCCTCTCAGCCTTTCAATCACCTCGATGATTCTGGCGAACTGAATTTCACCTCTCATATTTTAGGAATGGCCATTCGCACGGCCATGACTCAGCTCAGTGTGAAGAGCTGATGTAGACGCAGACTGCCAGAAACATAGATGAGGGGAAAAATACACTTTATGGCTTTGACATTGCTGCCAAGACAGCGTGCGTGCACTTTTCAAAGCACTGTTGCTTTTTTTTGTGCAGATGACAAAATGGTGCCCAGCTATCTAACCAAGCATTTCCACTTTTAGTGTTGGGTACAGAGAAGTTAGTTACTGCCACCCCTTCACACAAGAATAGGAAACGAGAATCTTAGTCCGAGTCAGATCAGAGCTTGCATGCGTTTCAAACTAATTTATCAATACAGTTCCCCATAGTCCAGCTGCATCTTTTGTCCTGCGAGGCAATATTTTGTAAGCCTGTAAATGGCAGTCATGCATTTTCAGTCCACATTCTTAGGGTATGAACTCTTCTTTGCTTCAAGTCACAGTGGACACCTCTTAACGTATGATATACTCCCTGAAGCCTTTGATATACTAAGGTCTGGTTTCACAGAAGGTATGCTTCCAAGTTATTTCAGGAACAACTTCACTGAGGAAAACACCTGTGAAACAGTGCAGTGACCAGAGGGCATCTTCAAAAGCAAGCTATGCAACAAAAATTGTAGGCTTTTGCTGAAGCAGCAGCTTTTGCTTCTCATTTACTTTATCGTATAAACAAAGTTGAAACAATGTATTTTTTTTTTTTTAATAAGGGTCATTAATCTCTCACCAAGTATGTGGAGGAGAAGGGTGAGTTTTCTGGGGCAAAGCTTACTCTTCACTGCAAGTTTTATACAAATTAATTTTAAGTCCTAACCCTAGAAAAACCATATAACAAAAAAGATGCTTTTCTTGGACAACATCCATTAATCTGGCCAAAGCTCTCACAACAGCTAGCTAGGAACCTAAACTACATGAACTTAGGAAGCATCAGTCTATCTAGTTGGGAGGTAGATATCCAAGTGTTAACTTGTAACTTAGGTAGTGTTTTCAACCAGCAAAGTTGCTGTTTGTGTCATACAAAACAACATTTGGGTTTTTTGGGGTGTTTTTTTCCCCTTTGTAAATGAAGATGCACACAGCAGGCTGAAAGAGCAGCATATATAAATGTGTTTTCCAAGCTCTTTAAGCCTGATCTTGCATTGCCAACTAGGAAGGGTAGTGGCTGCTCCTGTGCAAACAGGAAGTTTTTTAAGCTGCAGTCACATGTGTCATCAAGCAGTTGTTTGCCATCAGGGCAACACTATCACAGGGTGCACTATCACAGCATTAGTGAAGGCATGATGCTGCAAGCAGTGGAAGGTGATTACTGGTACCACCTCATTGTGTCTTGGTGGCAGAGCGGAGCCAACCTGGGGGAGCGACAGAGGAGAAAGTGTAACGCCTGCAGACCTAAGCCAAATAATACTGATACCATGTTGTTCGTTGTCAAGACTTCTGGTGACTTGTACTAGTGCCAGTTCAGCTCTGTGGGACAACTTCATGGTGTAACCCCTTAAATCAGCACATACACTGCAGAACTCAATGGGAAAGATCAGATAAAAGTACATGTACGACGGCAATGGCTTAGGAAAGCTTTCAAAATTAGAGACTTTAAAGGCCATTGTCATTCACAGAACCCTGTAGCATCTCAGACAGACCAGTTCCTTTGGGGAGCATTCACAAGCGTGTCCTCTTTGCCCTTGTCCTCGCTCCTTCCCAACTCAGCTGGCCCAGAACAAAAAACCCCCTCTGGTTTCACACAGGCAATGGAAAAGGCTGTTCCAGACGCTTCAGTCTAAGTCAAAGTGAGACATTAATGTTAAGGCACACTGAAAATGCCAAACCTAACCCAAACTTCTGAAACTGGATAGCAACTCGCTCATCTGCTTAAAAAACTGACTTTTACAGGATAAATTTGATTCCTTGTTGGTTTTGCACAATTCACTAGATAAGAACCAACGATACCAAAAATTAATCTCAATCCCCTCACAGCCTCTGCAAGGTTGTTTTGAAGTGGGGTGAAATACCAATATAGAGCTCTGGTGCTTTATAACTTGAGGTTGTTCTCATCTCTTCAGCCATCACAAGTCCTGTCAAGTAAAATTCTGAGCCATTACATCAGGTTCTCTATGGTTCATTGAGAAAGAACAAAGGGAAAGTTCTCTCCAAGGTTATAATACTGACAGGGGAAAAAAATAGTATCTAAGACCAGTTGAGAAGTATTTGAAAAAGTTCTAACAGCAGGACTCTTATTAAAATAAGTATAGGCTATAAGTCATAGTGATGCAGACAGAAAAAAGCCCTGCTCCTAACTTCAGTTCTTAAAGAAAACAAGATTTTGATCCCAGAAGGAAATTTAAATATTTCTGAAAAGCCTGATAGCAATCTTTAAAAAGGCGTATTTGATATCAAAGTAACTTTGTTTTCTTTTCTCTGTAAGGTGCTGATTTGATTTCCCATCGGGCACCTAAGGAAAAAAAAAAAACAACAAAACAAAACACAACACAACTTCAGCACCATATGATCCCTCTTTTTAATAGGAGAACACATGTTAGACCAGTCTGGACTGCTTCACCCAGCAACATGCTGCAACCTGTCTCGCTCACCAAACATGAGCAAGGCTGTGCATCCCTAGATTTCACCCAGTAATGTTTAACAGCGAGAAGCATTTTGTCCTTAGTGAAACCCATTAGCAAAATCTCCATAGCAAAAGTGCACAATGGCGTCGATTCAAATTTTTCCCTGCTGTTGAATGAGAATCACCTAGTGCGGGCTAGGCTTTGGAAAGCTTCAGAAATATATTCAAACTGTTATTTCCATATCTCTGCTGAGATTGAAACGTGTATTGTTGGTTCAAGGTGCCTTAGCACACTTAACACAGAACAAGCATGGAATCAATCAACTGAGCATAGGAAATGCATCAACTGACTTCAAAGGAAAAGAAGTTCTTTATATTACATTGACTCTTCCGCCGTTAATAGAGGCAAGAGGGAATACAGAACAGCATTCCGCAACCATCCTTTAGACACACAGTGGTTTTGATTAAAATCAATGAAACTGACACAGCGATATTATTTACACCAGTGTATGAAAACACTGAAGCTAGTAATTAAAATTATTTATTGGCTTATTTGTAACAATAAAAGAAACATTAATGTGTCCTATGCTATTAAGAGGCTAAAAATGAATAGCCCATTTTTAGGCTGTTCTGGGGTGGGGTTTGTTGTTTTTGTGTTTTGGTTTTTTTTGCTTTGTTTTAAATAGTTGGCAATTATCAGTATTTCCTCTTAGAAAATCACGATTTAATCATTTTCTATAAAATGTCATGGGACAATGTTAAAAGGAACGTATTCTGCCTATTGCAAAAGATCCAAGGATGAATCTCAAAACACCACACCCTGCAAAAATAAAGAATACGTTAGAGTAACTGGAAATTTGAGCTCTGGTTGTCAAGTCCTCAAACTCTTGCTTATACTTTACCCAAACGGTTCTTGATGTTTAGTCAAAACACTCCTGAATCTCTTTCAAATGCATCTATAGAGCTTAAGGTAGAAGTGATAAACGTATTTAGGTTTTGCATGTCCTTCTGGGCCCAAACTTCAATTACTGTAATAAGACTTTAATTAAAAACATATTTAATAATGCACATGACCTGGCCGCAACTGTATCTGCTGATAGCAGGTATGAAATGGAACCTAATTACAGCAGCATATTTAGGGGTTTTGTTTTGTTTCAGTTATTCCAGGAGCAGCACTTTATATCTTACTGACAACCAGTGGGTTACAGACAGCACATTGGTTAGCAAAGCCTGATAAAACTTGTGTTTTCTTGCATAACTCCACATTCACCTCCTCCCCAAACAGTGATCTTATTTCCTACTAATAACTATTACCATTTTGAAGACTTATGACTGATACGACATGAAGAAACTTTCATAATTTTCTGCCAAGTTTTTCTGTCAGAAATACTGGTTCAATGAAATTAAACTATTTCAGAAACATGTCAATGTCATTTACTTTAGACAGGAAAACGTCAAAATGTTTTGATAAAGTTGAAACAAAATATTTTGTTTTGCAAGATACACCAAGATCACTATTTTTCTTTCTGATTACAGATTAAAATGAGGTTTCAATAGTTTTGAGTTACCCACAAGCTGGGAATTCCTTTTTGGGGGGAGGGAGCAGCCCTACAATAAGAGTAACTTTAAAAACAGCAAGGTAATTTCATTTACATGTTGAAAGTCTGCTACCTATATTACATGTTCAAACAAGCCTAAGTTTAATTCTTCTAACCTTAGTAGGTCAACCGACAAACAGACACCCCCCTCTCTTCACTCAAGGGGATAAAACTTCCTTAGAGCCTGCTAGGAAGATTTTCATTGTTGAGACAACAGCATCTTATTCCTCAAATTAAAACACATCTTTAAAAATCCAATTAAAATTATGGCATTTTTTCATACTTGCAAAATTTCTACATATTAATATTCTGGTTTTTCTTCTCCCTGGCCCCCATCCCAATCTAGGAAGAAGACGAGGGCTGGAAAATGGCTCCCAGTAATTTCCTTTCAATAATGGAGGAAGGAAACAGTCAATACAAAGGTCAGTAGAAAAAGATAACAATTACAGCTGGAATGTTCTTCTAATTCAACTTAACCTGAATGTCATTCCTATAAGGTTAAACAGTGCAGCTGCCCGAACTATGGAACATTATAGAAATGAGGACATTAGATAAAAATGGTATGTAGGAAGGGAGTCTCTCAGTACCTCAAGCCTTCTTAGGAGTCTCAAAATCATCAAGGTAATCATACAGGAAGGTACATTTCTGTATGAGTGAAAGCGGCCAAACTAGAACCAAAGTGCTTTGATGTACATGCAGGAGCTTTCTTGGATTTTCTGAGGGCAACAAAAATGACATCTGAATAGCAAATAATTCAAAAGCACTATACTATAGACCAGGCTTCAGCATCAATGTCTTCATGTTCCTGTAACTCTTGATCCTGTCTTCCTCTCATTCATTGAAAGCGTCCATGGATTCATTCACCTACAGAGTCTACAGCTAATCAAATTATTTTTTATTACATGTTTTAATAGGAGGATCATCTTTTCAAGCAAGGGCATGAGAAACGCTGCTGGACTATGAATATACTTGCTTCATTCAAAGTCTGTGCAACTTAAACAACTCAAAATAATAGCTAGGAGACTGGCTGGTTTTTCACTTTGAGAAAGCATTCAAAAGTAGGGTTTTTCAAATTTAAAAAATGGTTTTCACAAAAGGACATCTATTTCTTTTCCATATCTCTTCTATCCTCTCCTCTACACTTGATGCCTTTGTCTATCTCTTAAACACTCGTCTTCAGTGTGCGCCCTAGATACACAAATGAGTTAGCAACGACTTGTGCTGGGCCTGGAAGTGAGCACAGAAGTCATGCACTTGTCTAAAATGGAAAGAAGCGCCTGCCCCGTGAACTATAAGTGAACAGCACAAGAGGACTCCAAAGGTCAGACAAGTCAAACTGAAGTCCTTGGTTGCAAAAGTGTGCCTGATCAAAGCTTTCAGGGTTATTTTTACTATATTTCGTGCAGATTCTATTCTCAAACAATTATTAAAAATTTCTTTTCTGCTCCCCACTCTGCAGAGTTAGTGGCTTGCTAAAATTCCTCATATGAAAAATCTCCATTATCCCCTCCTGTTGACAAATTACTGGCATCAAGTTTTCTGCCTGATTTGTGTTGGCCAGAGAGAAAGAAGCGTACAACTTACGTGCTAAATATACATCAGTACAGTTTTGCCTGACCTTTGACTTCTAACAATTAGGATTTTCTTAAACGTTATAAATCATAAGGCAATTTTATGTCCAAAGAGGAGTTCGTCCCAGACTGTACTCTTGAATGCTACATCAAAACACCACTGAAGTCAGCAGGAGTTTTAGATAAGGAACAAATTCACCTATGCTTCTTTCCTTAACTGGCCAAGAACATTACCTGTGCTTTTCTGCGCACTCAGGATGAAATGGCACTTTGCAACCCAAAACCAGCAATAGCAAGACCAGTGTTTCCCATCCAGCAGGTCCCAAGAGCAACAAAGGAGCAGTGTAGAGGCCCTATCCGTTGTGAAGTAGCAAAAAGAGGGCAGGAGGGTTTTGCATTGCTACATAGGCTTGGCCATATGCTCACCCAGCACTCTGCTAATGAGCAGGTGATGTAGTAGCTATGCTTTACAGTGCTCCCACAGTGTTTCTTGGATCCCCTGATGAGGCAAAAGCAGTCCAACAGGCTTCAATACAATGCTGAGCTGCAAATTCACCATCTCCTTGTATTTGTGCAAATAACTCTCCTCCAGGTTGTAGAAAACATGTTTGGCTGTGACCTCAACACAGGGGCTTTAAACAGTGCTTCCCAACATAGCAGTGGACACCAGCCTTCGGAATAAAAACACCACAGAAGGTTAATAGGAATAAGTTTAATAGGAATAGAGACTCCCAGATTTCATAACTATCTCAAGTAATGACAAGTCAGGGGGGTTATGAGAGGGTGGGGGACACGTTTGTCACCCACACTGTATCTGAACACTAGTACTGCCATTCCAAACAAGATACCTGCTTAGAGCTCTGCAAGCATATAACGTTTTGGGATTACTCATGCTAACTTTTTGCATGAAGATGAGCGCTGAATTGGGGGTGTTGTGTTCCTGTATATCTCACAAGGCCTCCCAAAGGCAACTCAGCAGCCTGTTGACTGTCTGTGGAGCTTCTGTTCCTATTCAGGCACCTGAATTGGATGCCTAAAGCCCGTCAGCGTGAGTACCTCCATCTCCCCATTATGTACTGGCAGCACTTGCAGGTACACTGCAATAATACGCTCAGGTAGGTCAGGGATGGGCAGCATCCTTTTGTGGTAGATAAAGACTCCAGCCTGGCATTCAGAGTTAAACACCGGTGCTCATCTCCAGCCCATCCCGCCAGAGCTGACAGCTACTCCCCTCGCTCTAAAGGCACATAAGAAAGAACCATTTTCTGCAAAGAGCACAACCAGAAATCCTCAGAGTGGAAAGAGCTCTCTTGCAAGCTTCAAAGAATAGCTGCAGTTCTGTCTGATGCACAGTAAGAGTCTATAGCTGTGCAGTTAAACTTCAGGTGGTGGGTTTTTTTTTTTTCCCCTCTTAGTGAACCAAGTATGGTGTCTATTCGACACCATATTTATTTTTAGTAAACAGCTGTTAATTCCTCTGTGCAGCACAGTCCCCTGCCTCATTCACAAGCACTTAGTGCTTTTTATTGCAGGACACTCTTTATCACAATACTGCCTGGTGGTTGTTCAGAATAATTTTACTTTAAAGCTGGCGATGGATAGGGTTCCTTTTTTCGAGGCCTCCAGAATCAAATCTAAAACAACTTCTGACGAGAACAGTGTAAGCAGTTTCTTGTAATTTTAATTTTAGCCTGCTTTCATTTCAGTAGCAGCATTGTTTAGAAAAAGAGTTTTGAGTTTGGTCTTTCTACACTGGGAACTTTTTTCTAGTCTTACGTAGAAATAGCTCAGTTACTATCACAGTTTGCACAGAAGTTCAAATTTATTAGTGCATAAATCTTGAAAACATCATTGAAGTAAGGGAGCTTGATTAAGAAAGGTTTTTATCAGATGTCTACAACAGAATCATTTAAAGACCCTTATGAGTGTGTCTAAAGTTTACCTGAATGATAGCTGACCAAACAACAAACATTTTTGTTTTGTCACACACACACACATCCCCACCTCAACACTGGCAATTAAGAAAGCCTTCCCATTCCCTGAAACTGGTTGCTTTGTTCTTAGGTTACTTAAATATTTAAAAAGACGTAGATCAGTTTTCACAGAGATCTAAGCATTTCAGTTACAGATTTTTCCACCCTATTTTCCCCCCCGCCTCTACCAAGCTAGAACTACTGCCTAAACTTCACTGGAATTCATGAAGACTTTTATTCTTCTAGAACCGTATCTGGCAGTTTTGCTAGTTGCTGACTACCTTTGCCGAGCCCTGTCTAGAAGACTTATTTTATATACTGTTTTTGGAAACAACCAGTTTTTGTGACATCCACTTTTACATTGGAATAGCAAGAGTTTGTGTAGAGCAAATGAAAGCAGTCTGAATCATTACCTCTGTCTACCTGGGGTTTATCTGTGCTGTGAGGCACCAATGAGCTATTTCCCCCCGTTATACAGATGCCCAGCTGATATTGGACTTGCTCGGTGTTGCAGAGGATATTTGAGTTCAACCCAAATACCCCAATGGCCCGAACTTTAAAGGTGTGGTGATACTGTGTATTTTTAACCAGGTATCAAAAGATTCAAATCCTCTTGCCAGGAGATTGAAAGTAGTCATTTTAAGAAAAGCCTCAGGCTTCAGATAAATATATTTCAATTATTAGTCACAAGCTGTTCGCTGAAATTCAGGGATATTGGAATTACCTACTAGTCTGCAGAGTGAAAACTAATACTGCTGGGATGGTGATGTTAGCAGTCGTGTTAGTGGACTGGGCTGTCTTTTGAGTTCTGAGCTAGAGAGGTATGCGTAGAAAATAATCCAAAAATAAGCATGCACTATTTTAGAAGAGGTGATATAAATTGCACTGCATACACACACGCGCAAGAATAGCTCCCGTAGCTGGATGACCCTGTCTGTAACAAAATACCAGGCTCTCTTGACCAGCCAGTGAAAACACAACATCCTTAGCCTCCTGACCTTACTTTAAAAATAACTTTGAAACATTTTGTTGATCTATAAAAGAACAACATAGCATCTAACACCTATGAGTTATTCATCTCTCTTCTAAAATTAGGGACTTCTAACCTGGTGGCTAATATAGCACTTGAAAAACTCATTGCCAGATAATATCAAAGGCAGCTGCCTAAGCTGTGGGGGACTATCACTGGTTTGCCTGCAGTGGATATTAACCACTAATCAATTTACAAAATGACAATAAACAATTATGAAAAAAACAGAATAAAAATCTATGGATCCCTGTATGAAAAATAAATATCTAAAACCTAGTACTCCTGTGAAAACATAGCACTTGCAACCTGTTGACCCAGTCAGGAAAGCGTTTTAAAATTCGCATAACTCCCATGTAACATCCCCTTTCCCTAAGGCTGAAATTCCAGGCTGGCAACCCTGAAGGAGTACCTTTTAACTAGGGCAAATCAGCTTTCCCTCTTGAAATGTTATGTGACATCTGTCATGCTATCTGATGACCCGCAAATAATTTAAAGAAATTAGCATCTATACCTTTGAGTTTCTTTCCTCATTACCAAAAAATCCACTGTCTTTCTCTGTCTCTACCATTTTCAGTTATGAAATTAAGACTACTCACCTGCAAAAACTATTGCCTATGTGTAAAGCCACAAATACTCGGCATATAATGCGACTCTGAAAATTCGTAGGGGATGGAAATAGCAGCCAATATTATATTAACTGGACTAAAACTTGAACGATCTCCTATGGGTGCTGTGAAAACCTTCCTGAATTTATAGCGCCTTAGAAATGGCAGCAGGTCCAGGAAAGAGTACCCTGTACAAAACAGATTCATAAAGGAGCTCATGTCTTAAAGTGGAAATCTGGAAATTGAATTAGCACATACTGCTGAAGATTAGCTGTCATTCATAAAGATACTATCAGGGCTTAAAATGCAAGGAAATGAAAGGTATTAATTGTCTTCCTTTAAATTAGCTCAAAAAATGTAGGAAGAGGAGAGGTGTTTCCATTAGCAAAAGGTACCTTTTGCTAATAACAGAGAATTCAGATATGCACCGAGCTTGCCAGACTTCACTTAGTTTTCTTTCTAAAGAGCAAATTGCAGTTTGCCTCGACAAAAATAAAGAGCTGCACCTCAGGATCATTAGCTATGTTACCATAAACAGGTTGGGTTTTTTTGATCATCAGTTTGCACAAGCTTGCTTTCTTCCCAGAGTTTGGTCTCCTTATTACTTACCCTTTGCACAATGCTAAGAAATAAAGGTGCTGTGTCAGGTGGGCCTTGTCTCTTTCTGGAAAAGACTTCAACTGCCTCTCAATTACTGCATCAAGCTTAAAACTCCCCAGACAGGGTTAAAACCCTGTGTGCCCCTACGTCACTTGTAGGTTGGATGCAGGTTATTGTTCAGACTCACTGTCCCCTCACACTCCCATTTCCATGTTCTCCATGCAGGCTTTTATGCGTATTCCAGTGCTCCTGGCCCATATTTCAGCCTCACATGAATTACTACAAAGGCTAACTCGCAAGGTCGCAGCAGCTTTAATTTAGTATTAGATAACTGAGCAGGAGAGAACAAGGAAAACTTCCCGGTTTAAATTAAACACCTTCCTTTGGTCCCCAAGCCTGCGTTATGCCAGCCAAGAGACATGCATAGAGAGCACGCTCCTCAGGACAGGAGTCATCTTTGTGACTTCTTCATGGTAAAGATTTAAGCACAATGCTGTTAAGCAGAGAGAAAAAGAATGCCAACATCGGGCACGATATAGTTCGGCCGATACTGTACTACCTGCTCTTGAAGATGAACAACACTCCAGGCATTCAGCTTTACAACCAGAAAATGACAACCTCCATATCCCATTATCCTCCTGAAATCTGATACCAATTTACAGCCCAAGGCAAAAAAAAAAAGTTCACCTCAAGATTTACAGATCCTAACACAACAGGGCTCTGAACTTGGTAAGGGTCCCTAGAGTCTGTTACTTTCATACAGCTAATAATTTAATAAAAGCTGCCTACAACTATCTATTTTTTGCCTCCAGAAGCAGTTGGAAAAGCCAACGGCTTCTGTAACTTTTTCCCCCTTTTTTCTTTCTTTTGGATAACAGCCGTATGGCAGAACAGAGATGAGGGATGGGATTTTCTCCAGGATCATGACCCAGAGCTGATCAAAGAAGAGAAACGGGAAGAAGTGGAGGAAGAGATCAGAGTGCAGGTGTGCTTACAATAGTAAGAGGACACTAATAACGTGCGTTGCCTGTGTCTATTTCTCTACAGCTGTAAGAACTGGCCCTGGCATAGACCTTACCTCCTTCCAGAGTCCCTACTATCTGTTCTTTGCTTTAACACTTGTTTAGCTGAACATTTGTCAGAGGTGTGGTGGCAGAACAGAAGACTTAAAGCTTCAACTGTGTTTGTCTGGATAGGTTGATGAATTGATGCAACAGAAACTGGAGAATCTCAAACTGGCTGTGGATGGAGAGAAGAGTGACAAACAGAAAAAAGGAAGAAAAAGTGAAAAGGTAAGAGCAGCAAGTTGGGAGAATTCAGGGTAAATATCAGTTCTCTGCCCAGATACAGTGGTATTCAGTGCAAGCCCTAGTCTCACAGATACCAGTATCAAAACATCTACTCTAAACATATACCGAATCTTAAGTCAGAAGCATTTAAAAATCTATTTGCTCTGCCTTTTTTTAGGGCCTTTTCCTTTAGCTGTTATTATTCCTTAACCTTTATAAATATTGCTTAAGACAAGTTGAACTATTCCAGAGATAAATCATTACTAGATAGATCAGGTTTTCAAGAGGGATACACACCCTCTTGAAATCCTCTGATCCAGTCAAACAGGAAAATCCAAGCAGTCCCTCTCTTTGATGTGACAGGTTCAGATTACTACAGTCTTCCAAGGAAGGCATGGATCTGGGTGGCAGTAACTTTTCCAGCTGCTGGCTGTTTTCCTTCTAGATGAGGACTGGTTAATGCATTTCAAAACTGTACACCAAAAAAAATTAACTTTGAATGTCTTGGTGTAACCTTTCATTTATCTGTAACAGCACACAGATCATATGCAGCCAGGTACACATTGTTTAACCATGTTACTACTTACTGTTGAAGGGTTTGGGAACTCACAATCAAGCCAAGTTTGCTTAAGCTTATAAAGTAGGTTAAAGACATACGTTATTTTAATGTGTGTTACCCACTGAAACTCAGCACACATCATGTTCACATCTAGTTTCACAGCATTACCATATGCAGAATTCCACAGCTCGCGGTTCCCCAGATTCCTTACCCAAGCATTTAAACTATAGATCATGTCAGTGCAAAATAACTCAAAGCTTACAGACCCTACCATTCAATCAGCAGATCCACTTAAAATCCTCAGGGCAAATAGCCAGCCCTAATCTCATGTTGTATTTCATTTCTCTAATCCCTTTAGCATGCAAATACTTGCTGTTGCAGTACTTCTACTCAAATTATCTTTAAAAATGCTCTTTCACCTGACAAAGGTGCAGGGGCAATTTAATAATGCAAGACTGGCGCGGCTCTGAAAACTGATACCAATTGGATTGCTAAATCTGTTTCAAAAATAGGGAGGCTTAAGATATACAGACAAAGTATTACAACAATCTTCCCAAAGTTGTCATGGGCAGATGCATTTAGATCAGCTGGTCAAAACTGCTTCAAAATGTCACACTGGAATTCTAAAGCTTTACATTAGGGTTTGTTTTTTGGGGTTTTTTTCCTTTCAGTTAATGTTGAATGGTTTTGGGTAGAGAGAGGTTATTTAACTTTTGTTTTTCCAAGTTGTGCCAGTAGCCTGAGAGAACGAGGGGAGGGGGAAGAAGGGAAAGAAGTTCTAATTAAATAATACAAGTTCCCTAAAGATTTTGTCTGGAAAAAAAAAACAGTTCTATTTTAAGGGTGGGGAATGGAAGGAGGTATGCAGTTTTTAATCAAAACACATCTTCCCTGTGCAAAACTATTTGAAATGTCCAATCAGCATTGGCAAAGGCTTTTTCTAATTTGTATTTCCATAAATATCTCAGCCCATAAACCAACACTTCACAATCAAACTTCAGATCTGCTTTATGAAAATCTGGCCTATAAAACAAAGATAATAGGAGCTGGAAAGTTTTGGAAGCAGCTTACTAATTTGTTATTTAGCAAGAATCCTCTAGTTCTTCAAGGCATGTGTTACCACATCCTAGGTCCTATACGTCTCCCCCCCCAACTACGCGATGTGAAACAGTGGGTTTGGATTCTCATTGTAGCCATGAACACGTCTGGAGCACGATGTAAAACTTCTTTTGTTTTCCTCCCAAAAGAGATATTCTGCAAAGAAAAGCATTCTCAGGAGGATTCAACATTCTTCAGAGAATACAGATCTTTTTCTGCACTCTGTCAGTGGGGAATGGGCAGCAAGGGTAATTTCTTTAAGTGAACTCTTATGAGTGGAGTTTTCTGTCAGGGGCAGTTACCCCAAATTCACAATGCCACATTTAGCCATTCCCTCTGTTGTAAGGAAGGATTTCTTCTACTTTCTTTGCAGTAAGACATCACAGTAAAACTAGGGCTTTTTTGTTGTCAGGGAACAGTCACTATCCAGGGGTGTACAGGGTAGATGTCCTCTGCCTCTTCAAGCACACCTTAGGATAATTAGTTTATAACTTTAAAAAAGTCTGTTAACTCCATATTAAAAAAAAATCCGACTGACCCACAGGAGATAATTTGAGTTTGAAATCCTGTTCGGAAGTCCCTTTCGTGGGGGACGTTTTGGAATTAGACTCCAAAGGAAAAGCAGAAGCTCCCTCCCAGTCAGTGTTTCAGATGGCTCAAGTCCTAAATAAACAAAATTTAACACCTCCAGGCATATGTGTAGGCCACTCCTTTAATTCCATGCACAGTACTTTCTAGGCTGAACTTTATCACTGGCTCCCAAACCTTCAAATACTACTTAATACTAAAAGCTAACACTTAACCCTATCAAGAATTACTCTTACTGCCCCTGAGATAAAAGCCATTTGCCACCTTTATGAAAGAATCATTTTAGGTGGAAGGACAAATTGCTCTTCTCATTACAACTGGGTCTCCAGACCATTAGGTTGGTCTGGAAATACCTAAACTAATTAGATTGCACCTAGTATGCAACAAGCCACACGGCTATCATTTGAGGCACAGATTTCACATGCCTGTAACCGTGTTGGAAGCATCTCACCCTACAGACTGTCCCACTATTATTTGTCCTTTCAGTCCAGCATTGATAGGGTATAGAGCACAAGCGTCCTCGTTCAGAGACACACTGTGCTGGGCTCCGATTGCTCCAGATAGCTCCTGATCTGATCACTGTCACAGGAGAGGGGATGAGAATACAAGAGAAACAAAGGAATATTATGGTTCAGCTCTGCTGCCAATAGCATTTTTCTTCACTATGCACAGCGGCAGCTTGTCATCTGCCCAGCCATGTTTCAGCACGCTAGGATTGTAAGCGCCTGTGTAAAGGCAGGCTGAGGAAAGATTTGAAGGGAGATTGCTCCCAGTGAGGGATATGGCATTGATGTCTAGGAAGGCTGGCAAAGAAGTGTCAGAAGGTCCAAGTCCCCACCCAGCTGAGTTAGAGGAGCCTGTTATAGAGCACCTGAAGTGAAAGGGCTAGCATTATCTGAAGTAATTGATTTCTAAAAAGCTGGTGGCATCCTTGTGCCAACACAAACTTTTCTTAGTGAAGTGTTGTTCTTCTGAGTCCACCCCTTTCTGCTGACAACCCAAGCTTCTGATTTGGGCGGCTCAACACAACCCATCAGCTTTACAAGCGCTTCTTCTAGACGGATGCCATGTACCCAACCATGGTACCCAGAGGGTGTTTCTGTTGGGAATCTGCAAATACACCACTGCAGACCTAGCTTCTTGAAACTGGCTTTGCACCCAAAGTAAGTGCTGACAGATCAGCTCTGCAGTTACTGACCTGGATGTTACATTTGAGTGCTTATCAGAGTGCTTTTTATCAAGCCTATTGTGCTGCTTTTCCTGCTCTGCTCTCCTAAGGATTTGCTTCCGATCCAACTGCAGGTAGAGCAACCCATTGTAAGTGAACACACCCACACATACACAAAAGGCATAGCCAGAATTCAGAAAAAACAGACAGAGGAGCCATGGGAACCTAAGCATGTAAAAGTTGCTTCTGAAATAGGCCGTGTTAGCATCTCAGCCCAGCTTTTGATATCCCTTTTTGATGCAGCCGGACAGAAGCAAAGAAAACCACAAGAGGTTAACTATAGCAATGGCCACGACAAGAATATTGATATCAGTCTAAAAACTTGATCAGAGCAAGGCCATAGTGAATGAGGCCAGAAGACAGGCTGGATCAGAACTGAGGCAAGGCTAGGTGCGAGGACAGTGATTCACAATCCCTGTTGGATTTTCTGTAGCTGATGGAGATTAGCACCCAGAGCTTTCAGCCAGCTGTGGGGGCTGTAACCTCTTTGGATGCTGTAGCTAAATCCAACAGGAACCACAAATCAGAGCCCCTCATTTAGCAAGGGCTTAATAATCAGTGGGAACATCTTTGACCAAGGACTTTTTCAGTACAAGTATCAGAAGCTGCTCTCTATATCTTAGCATTGCCGGAAAAAGACTTCTCAATCCAGAGCAGACGCACACACAGTGCAAATCTGCACTTGCTCAGCCTCCTATCCAAGCATCACACATGATCTAAGGAATCCACTCAAACACTTCATAGGCTGCTGCTTATAGCTTGTCATTTCCCTTAAACCACAGGAGTACTTTCCTCTCATTACTTCTCCACATACTTGGTGGCAGTGGCTGTGGACAGCTGATGGCAGCAGGACTTGTATGATCACAGCCAAAGGGTGACACAGATCCTGCAGTTCCAATGTGGAACAGTTCCCTCAATGCGACATTTTGGCTATCCTCTCTCTTCCGGTGCCAGAGACTCTCTGCTCTGGAATCTGGTCCGAAGTCAGGTCTGTGTTTGCTCGTAGCAACCTCTGAGCTACTCAAAACATTTTCATGAGCCCACACAGTAAGAAAAGATACCACACTGTGCACGGAAGACGGTCTTCTGTCATCTGCCAACTAATAACTAATGCAGTTCACTACATGTGACTTATCAAAGCAGAAAATAACCGAGTAAATGGATGGCTACACAGACGCTAGACTGACATTTCAGAGATAGAAAAAAGATGATTTCCATTATAAATGATGAGCATGTTCACATTCATTAAACATTATCATTTTCTAAATAAAAGCGGTTCCCAATAAGACATTTTGGAGGAAAGCCATTGTCTACAATTCACATTTCCCCTTATCGCATCTCAGTGTTTGCCAGATTTCCCATAAATGCTGATGTTAATTAGGAAAACACATTTTTCCCCTGCATAGTTCATTTTTTGTTTGCTCTTGAGTTACTTTATTGGTGAAGCTGCCTTGAGGACAATACCAGTTGGCCAATAAATTCAACATATGCTTAGTGTCTTTACATAGGTAGAAATGAGCTTTTCTTCCCAGTCAGACCCCATGATATGTAATTTCTAGCTGGTTGGAAGAAAGGCTAAAGAGACAAAGCTGGAGGAACACCAGAAATAAACCGCTGACAGTCTCAATATTTCCTCAGTTGTTAAAACAGCATGGCATATGCTTTGTTCTCCCTATTCCTTTTCTTTAAAGCAAAACCCCACTGGCACATTCTAACGAGTATTTGCTGCCAAGCTTACTTATGTAAAGAAACCCGAGGTGTAGTTCTGCAGGTACAGAGTTGTTTGCATTATTCTAATCCAAAGCTTAAAACCATCACTTTTTCCCAGTAAGCTTATCCATATAGTTCTGGGTTTAATTTACATTTTCATCTAGATTATCTTTGTCACATTGTAAACAGTAACAGGGGATTGAACCATAGGTTATTTACATTGTGACTGTCCTTGAGAACTTACAATTGATATATTTCTGAACGCTGCTGATCCATTCTAGGAAAAAAACCCCATCATTTTCCAGATAACTGGATAGGATTTTTAACTCAACAATATAGCCTCTAGAGCTCTGTGGAAGTATTCACTATTAAAAAAAAACCTCAACTACTGTATTCCCAGGAGAGCGAACATAAACTTTTGGAAAGAATAAGCTGTCTTGATCAACTAAGCATTTAAGCACATGCTTAAATTTAAGCCATTGAAGAAATCCCATGGTGCACAAATGTCACTGTGTAAATAGTTCCACTGAAGTAATTCTAAAGTGCTTTGCAGAACTTCAGTATGGACACCAGTGGTGGGCACTAACATGGATTAATGATGCCCTCTCCACTACTAATTATCCCTAACCATGTTTATGGCTTGTGAGCTGTAATTAATGGAGGGGCTTGACATTACTGATTCACATCTTTCTTCTTTTTGTTTTCCATGAGTTTTTTGCAGCATGTAAAGAAACTAGTCGCACAAGTCAAAACCTTCCCATAGTGAAAGTGTGGTGAAAATATCAAGAGAAGAGCAGGTCATGTTTTTCTGACCTCTTCAAGCTTCTTCCCTGAGGCATTAGGAAAGAGAAGGCAGAAGGATGTCTAACGGTTAGGAGGCTAGCCAGAGACTCAGGAGGGTTGATTTCAGGTCCTGGTCCAGCTGTAAGCACCCTGTGTGACCCTCAGGGAAGCTGCTTATATATTTTACTGCAATGTAAAAAAAAAAAACAAAAAAAAACCATGAACAGTCACTAGAGCAGCTACTTAGACCCCACACCCTTTTCCTTCCTGCTTCCCTCTTGGGTAAGGGCTATACCCGTTCAACCACAGAGTCGTGCTCCAAAAAGGAAGGAGAGAAGAGTTTTTTCTTGGAGCAAATGACCCTGGGATTCTTTTGTATGCAACTTCTACTGGAAGGAGCGGGACTGATGGCTTTGAAGTATGATGCTCTGGGCACTCATTGGGGAGGTGGCAGATGCAGGTGAGGTACAGAGGCTCCCCGAGCAACTATATTCTGGAAGGAAGCAACAGCCACCAGGTTACTTCATGCAGAGTCCAGTTCAAGAGCACCTGCCGCAGGATCTGCATGACATTCGTAGGCTGGACCCAGCTCCTCAGCCCAGGGTGCTTCACCTCTCTCATGCCTTGGTGAGGCACTTATAAGTGGGAACATCTCCTGTGCTTTTATAAATGGGGACATGACTTCCTTCCCTCAGGGCATTCAAGGATATGATTTTTCCCTTTGGGTTCCTTCAATAACAAGGGCCACATTCAAACACTGAAACATTTGCTGTCTGACCCTCGCTTTGCTTCAGTACGTTAAAAATATATATATATATCTGTATTAATGTCACTAATTTCAGCCTGTTTTTGTGGTCCTCAGAAAAAAAAGACAACCGTGAGGAAAAAGATACCTGAGATGGAGGAAGATCTAACTCCTGACAGGTAAAGAGCAGACCTGTTTACCTGAGATTCAGACAACAAGAGACTCCATCCTCTTTGCATTAAATATGCTGTCAACCCTTTTAGTTTTTAATTACACAAGGAGCATCTCAACATTGCTACGCTTACCAGCATCAGGAGCCCTACAATAAATAAAACCTCTTTATAAACAGCTATAAACATCCATAAAAAGCCTAGACGATAAAAAAATCTTGAAGCACGTACACTTTCGCTAAAACCTTTTTTACATTCCCAGTGAACACTACAACCTTCCCACTGCCCCTCCCCGACTGATGGCTTTGCAGCACCACAAATAACAGGGCAACAAAACACTGCTTTAATGGCACACAGCACAGACCTTGTTTTTCCCCATCTTCAACAACGCATACAAATTAAGATCCCCATTCTGCAGCAACACACCACTACAGCCAGTCTCCATTAACTTCAGTCAAGTTAATTCCAGTATGCAAAGCTAAGCACATGTACCATTTAGGCAGGATATTGGCCCTGTTTGCCTCTTTCCCATCCTCTCTGCAGGTGCAGAAGCACCTGGCAGTTTGTTGACTGTCAGATTTTTCCATCCCAGCTGACGCCTGATAAGAGAGGCTGCAGACAGGCCTCTGTGCTCTATAAATCACCCTTCACATTTTAGGTAAAATGTACATGTCATATAAATCAGTCTTACTTATCAATAAGAGTTCTGGCAGACCTGGCAACTTGTGTATCCTTGCTATTTTAAGCACCCTTATTTTATTGGGAGGATTTGAGAGGATTTCTTCTTTTGACATTACATTTTCAGTGAGCTCATGATGCGTTCACTGATAATCCGGCCATTTTTCACCTGTGCATGTAATACAGAAACCTACACAGAGATATCGCCACTGGGACCTGCTGACCCAGCAGCAGTGCAGGGCAGGAGGAGACCCAGCTCCTAAGAGAGCAGGGCTGGAGAACAGCATGAAGACTAACACGCTTAATCACTGCAGGAGGAGGCACAGGGGATTCACCCCACAAATCCGTTTGTACAAGACATGCAAGACCTGGACTAGACCATTTGGGTGCTAGCACTACACAATCAGTCAATGATCTCTTTACCTGCTTTAAAATAAAAAACCTCTCCAAGCAAATATTTAAAGTAAACATGTCATGGATTATAACAGAGCATGAGAGTTCTCTTACAAGAACAGTGCCAGAAGTCTAGCAACTATGCATATAGTCTGTGCTTTTAAAAATTACTCTTGCACATACCTGCTTCTTATAAACAAACTTAGTACAACGTACAGCCATTTAAGAACACAAGCTTTTTAGTAGCTGGCTTTTAATCAGATTTTATGTGGCATTTTGGCTCCCATGCTTTGTTCTTCCCTGCTGAGCAGGGAAGGAGGAAGTATTTCAGAAATAACCAAGAAAAGCTCAGGTTCATCTCATTTTTGACATGGTGGAAGGGGCACAGGGGGCCTTAGTCAACAGAGACTGATCACATCACACTTACTTGGAGGAGACTCAGGGCATGCATCATTAAGCTTGCACAGTAAAAATAATAAGACAGGAAAAGTAGAAGTCATGCTCCCAACAGAACTGTCAGGTTAGTCCCATTTTACCTTCTGCTTGTTTTATGATGCATACTCTAACATAAAACCACTGAGAATGAAAGCAAGAGTCAGAGTGGCAAAATCAACGTTGTTGAAGGTGCGTTAAATTTTGTATTTCCTTATTACGACTCCTATATTAATTGTGCCACTAACACTGCGTAAACGTAAAACTTCCCAGCTGAAATAGAAGAGGGCTGCAGACCTCAAATTATATATATGGTTTTATTAGCCAGCTGAGAGTTACTATTAAATATTTTTATTGTAGCAATACCAGAACATCCCAATTAAGATAGATGACAAAGATTAAAAAAGCTCAGATATTGAAAGAAAAGGATGTGAAAAGTGCAAACAGTGAAAGACCTAGAAAGGTTCAAATCAATATTGTTTACACTAACAATGTAAGAATTTCCAACAGGCTTATTCATTTTATGTAATTCTTGAAGCAGTATCAATCTGTAGAACCCAGTGGCAAAAATTTCTTTGAAATTAATATTTAGATAGAACTCCAAAAGAGAGACTAAGGAGAACATCCACACCAACAGAAAACTGGATACAAAATGTAAATATTAAATCCTCAGTTACCGGGAGCTGTTTCCAACCACCAACGGAGATAGATAGAAACCGTTCCACTGGAGAAGTTATGCCACAGTTTCCACTCTATGTTTTTCCCCCCAATCCTCCTTTGGCCAGCGTCACCCTAACACTGCAGTAGATGGAGTCATTCCCAGTATGTTTCTGACGAGATGAGGCTGTCTATTGCAAACAGAATAAATTCCAGGAAGAATTAATGAATTACTACTAATTGGAGAGCTAAGTGAATAGGTATAGTAGTGTTAGAATTGCTATTATTATATAATTTAAAAATAATTTCCCAGTAATTGATATTAATGAAGGAGTCTATTACACAAGTCATAACTGATCTTGCATCACCTGGAAATGGGTAATGGAATTGGTGTGAAAGGGAGCCATGCGGTATGTGAGGTAATAAAAGATTCCTTGCAATAACGCAGAAAACTGTACTTATTGATTTTGTATTGATGGAGCTAATCACCTTTACTTCTGAGCTACAAAATACATTTATAAAGCCGAGGAAGCATAAATAACTCTGAAGCTAGTTCAGTTATTGAAGGACTAAGCTTTTACTTACAGTTCCCTAGAATTTCTGAGTGATGTCTCTTGTCCATAGGACCATTGATTCTCTGTACAGAGAACTAGCGGAAGAAGGTTTACTAATAAAAGCCAAGACTGTGAATCTCTCCGATTATGTTGGTAAAGTACACATTTTACAGCTAATACAGTTTTTAGTCTAACCAAACCTCCAGCCGTTCAATGTTCACTGACCCCTATTTCCAGTCAAGAATGAGTTCAAGAGTAATTACACTTTCAGGACTTTCCAACTTTAAGATCTAAAGCCATGCATGCAAATCAAGTCTGTTTCTGCAGGGTGCTCAGTACCTTTCACTTCTGCTGCTGAAACCAGGACCTCTTTGTAGAGCTGGTGCTTAGCTCCAAGCACTAACACCTGGAAGCCTTGAATGTTTTTGGATGTCACAAGCCACTCTGAGGTGGAACCAGGACATCCTTTAAGGAGCACTGGCCAGGCATTGGCCAGGACAGTGCAAGTCTATCAGACCAGGGGTCATAATCCATCCAGAATATTTCCCAGAGAACAGCCAAAATCATACCTTCAGCATTTGTTCATTCAACAGAGAAGACTCACGCCCTTACCTCCACCTCCCTGGCTGCCCCTGAACTTTGAGCAGCGCTTTGAGGCATATCTGGCCCTTGATTTGAGTAAGATATGTCTCTGCCTAGTTCTGCATTTCATAGTCCTCTTGCCCAGTTTCTGTCACCTGCAGCTGCAGTCAGACACACTCGCCCATGCTCTACACAGAGGAAAAAAAAAAAACAACCCACTTGCAGGCTGCACAGGGGTCTGACACCATCTCCAAAAGCATTTGGTGACATACAGTAAAGTCACAGCAACCTTAGCAGCAAAAAAACCCAAAATTCAGTTGTTTCAAAGGCCACCATTATTTGAATTTGCAGACATCCAGAAGCCACAAAACCTCTGGCTGCAAGTATAGTATGTATCCGAGCCAGAAAGGCTGGATTCTCATACATCACCTCTAAATGCCATGTTTATATAAACTCTTAGAAGAACCAATTACTGCCTTCAGAGTCTTTGCCCACTCTGTTGAAGGCTGAATTAACAAGTATTCCATCCATTTTATGCTCGTTAAAGATCACAAAGGGAAGTAATAGAAGATTTTCCTTATTCCTTCATTCACCCAACCAGTACCATCAAGGTCACTTTTGTCCAACAAACACAGATGTTTTGAAAGCACATCTGAGCCAGTGGATAATAATTAACAGCTGGTAACATCAAACTTGGAAGCAGGCTGAGATTGCTTTGGGCCATCTTCCCTTGACCCTGAGGTTTGAAGCCTTGGCTCCTCTGCAGCATAGAGCAACACAAGAGCTGCTCCAAATTACGCTAGGAATATTCACTTCCCAGCAGCAGATGACATTGGGCACAAAAGTGCCGAGTCTAGTGATATTCACCTGGCTGCCTAGACCCGTGCCAGGTCCCCCACGTGTCCCACCACAGATGCTGGCCCGTGCAGACCAGGCAGCAAGGGTGGCCTGCACTGTCAAAGCCAGCTCTTCCCCACTCAAAACTCAGTCACGCATCTTGAGCTGCCAGAACAAGATACTGAAGGCATTTAAAATTGGCCTACGATTTGGACCTCACTTTTTTTTTTAAATACCAAAAAAACCTCCCCCTTTAAGGTTCCAAGGACACAGTCAAAGCCTGCAGAAAAATAAGTCCTCATCTGCTCTGCTCTTACAGGGCTTCCTTCTAAGGAAGGTCACTCACTCCCAGTTCCCGGGGAAAGGACAAAGAGTGGAATTGCACTACACAGCAAGTAAAGGCACCAAAATGTCCCTCCTCTATGACAAACCGACATCACTGAACTAATTTTCTTGGTGACCTTATCTAAATTAGTCAGAGAATTTCCACTGTGATTTATGTTCAGTTGCAATTAAACCCTTTGATGCCTTCTAATTAAATCTGTGAAGATTAATTCCTATCCAGTTCTTTTGATTTCTCCTTAAATAAAAGATAAAACCTGAAATGAATTTTATTCTTCAGAGGGGAGGGGGCAGTTGCACCAGGGCTTGTCTGCCTTTTTGCCCCCAAATTACAACTCCACTTTCCCTCTTAACCATTGCTAATTTACCTCTGCTCCAGAGAGCTCTAGTGCTCTCCCTTTTTAACTCCAATAAAACATAATACGCTATTATTTTTCAATAATATGCACCATAATGACATGTATTTTATGCTAAAAAATAATCATTGACTACGTTGTCACAACTAGTTTTCTTGCTTGTGGCCCATCCTTCTGGATCTTTGTTCTCTAACATGTCTTGTATATGGACTTTGACAGGGCAAGCAATGTGATTATGGCTCTGTAACAAGAGCCGAGGCAAGATTAGATCGTTTCAGTGCATGTCAGGGATTTTTAGTCTTCTTGGGTTGTTTTGTGGAGGGTTTTTTGAACAAAAAAAAAAAAGGTGAACTGCAAAGCAAAGAGCCCCACCAAATTAGGTGACATGCTTAAATGTCTAACATAGTGAGAAGCTGAGATGTGATGCAGCCAGGGGAAACGCTTGTTAAAATATCTTTTCCCCCTTTTTGAAATCCTTTTGATAGAGCATGGTTCACTGGGATTCCAGCTCTGCAAAATCCCAAATCCAGAAATCCTTTGCCAGCAGTGTGATTTATGGTGCTACTAACGATTCTTCTCCACAAAGTTTCTTTAAAAGGTTACTCGAGACCGACTGCTCTGCTGAACGCCTTCCACAGTCTGGAAGGGAAAGTCCACAGCGTGTTTACCTTCATTTTCCTTTGCAGTTCACCTTTCAAATTTCTCAGGGCCGCATTCCACAACAATATTGCCCTGTTTGAGTCCCTGTCCCTTGACGGTACTGGGTTTGCTGAAAGCATGTTGTATTGGTATTCTATGGTAGTTTTCCATTACTTGAGTTATGCGTTTTATAACAATGCAGTGTCACGTTTATTAAGCCCGTGCTTCCTCCCTACAGGCGAGTACAGCTATCTGGGGACCACACTTCGTCAGGTAGATATAGAGCCAATGCCCTCTCTCGCAGATGTCAGACAGCTAATAGCACTGTATGGAATATTGCCATTAGGTAAGAGCACAGCAAAAATTACTAGAGGGCAGAATACAATGGCTTTGCTTCCTGTCAGTAACATGCATTTTTACTGGCTTTGACAGGGCTTGATTAATCGTAATCTAAAGCATTTTGCAGTATAATTGTTTTTCAATTAAGCTTTCTGACTGAAGACCATATCATTTTAATAGTGCATAAAGGAGCTTGCACATGCTATTGTCAGGTATTACATTTCCATACCATCTCTGTTTGCATGTTAACAGTTTGTGAATGGCAGCACATAAAAGGAAATCACTTGGGAAAGATAATAGCTAAAACAAGCTCCAGTGATCAAAATTAATCAAGTTAAGGGAAGGGCTAAGGTTGCAATTTACCTTTTACAAGCTGGCTAATGTTACTCAGTACTAAACAATGCAATCATTTAAGGAATTAGTCTGAATACATTTTGTACATCAGAGAGAACACTTTTTAAATGCCCTTGCAGTTTTAATGCCAGACTTAGCCAGCATCTAACAAGGCTTTACTGGGTCAGGTTGTTGGCTTTTAATATAAAATCTATCCCATATTTTACTTGGGAATGGCATTAAGCCAAACTCCAGTGATTGTAAGAAGTGCCTGTCTCAAGGGCTTCTACTCATACTTCGCTTGCATCCTGTTCCCTTCCTGATTGGATTTCGGGGAAATTTTAACTAGACATATCCTCCCCCAGGCTGTGTCACTGTCTGCTCATCCCCTTTATAGGGCAAAATAGCTGACGTCTCCCTGCCTCCCATTACTGGCAAATGGAGCAAAGATGACACAGAGCTTCTGCTTTTCCCTCCCCTTTGCACGCCTTCCAGAAAGACCAGTGCTGGGGCTATTCTGTACGTACATGCTCTGTGGCTCTCCTCAGGCATTTCCTGGCTCCCCTGTCCCCAAAGCGGGCTCGATGTCTTGCAGAAAGCTTGCTGCAACAGTGCACAAGTCTGCTTCGTGTGGGTTTCAGGAAGAGTGCTCCTTCTGCCCTACAGCTCAATCTGAAGAATCAGGTTAACAAACAGGATGCTAGCAGCACCCCTGCCTTCAATCAACCTAGATGGGGCTCTTCCCTTCTAAAACACTCTCAGCTGGTTTTGGGTAAACCCTCAGGGGGTTGGCTGCAAGTTTGACCGCAATCAGCTGAGAGAGCTCAGCAGTTATCCCTGTCCACACTGACTGCTATGTGGTATTTCACATATAACTCCTCCAAGGTTATGTTTTAACACCATCTAATCTAGTGAAATCAAGCCCCAAGATACCCCCAAGGCAAGAGGAAAGAGAACCCATAAATTTTCTGCCATTTATACAATTGGCTAAAAATCTAGGGAGAAGAGACCTTGGACTAGTTAAACAAACAGAATATATTTGCAATAGCAGTTTGAAAAATGCCTCTGAGAAAAAAAAAAGATCTTGCATGAGCCAAAAAAAAGACACAGGAATGGTTTCACCTTTTGGGTGATACATTATGGATGACATTTTACTTAATTGGTCTCAGAACTAGTTAATCATTATATAATTGTGTATGTGTAGAAGTGAAAGTTTTTCTCAAAATACTCACCTGATGGCAAGGAAAGCTCCAGCTTAAATGGCATTGAGAAAATTATAAGCAGCTGAAAGGAGAAATAATAGTAGAAGATATACTTCATCTTTAACCACAGAGGAGTCTGCAGCTCCCCTCATAATAAATCTGTGTAATAGTAATAGATTGGTATGGAATGACCAAATATTAATAAAGCCTGGGTGGCTGACAACTTCACTACATCCTGCACAGTGCTGAAATAATGGCATTCATCTTAGCGCTCAGTTCACTGTCATTTATTTGGGATGTTAAACCATTAGGACACAGATAGACAGCCTGATTGGATGTGGTTTTAAATACCATTCTTACCTAGCTGCCCCCCTTAACCCAGAGAACTTTCCCAGGCTAAGCCATAGGCTCCCTCTGCAGCCCATCACTTTTGGGGCTTGGTTTCCACCACGAGTCCCATTGTCTGATAAACACTGGTCTCAAAGACCTTCAGAAGTAGTGGATGCTCATGTAGATTTTCAAATCTGACTTTGTAACAACGACCGTTACTGACATGGGACCTTTTTAGGCATCGAGGCAGTGATGTTACTGGACTACCAGTTGGCATGGATAAAGCATTTGACATTTCCTGCTACTTCCATCTCTGGAGGTTCACCTCTACTTAATTCATACAGTGACAGAGCTGCAGGGAAGACAAAATTCTATCACTATCAGCCCCCTAAATCTCTCTCTCTCTCTCTCTGTGGTTCTGTTTTAACAACACAGACATTTCTGCTAGGCTTTCCCAGGTGATGGAGCCTATTTCTTACAGCCCAGAATGAATTTACCTGGAGCAGCCATAGAGACAGATTTAGAAACGCTGAGCAGTCATCACGGCCGGCAGAGCAAGTGAAGCATAGCAACCCTGGCATTTGCATTTGCTCACTCAAATAAAATGAAGGGAACAGAAAAGGATCCTCCTTCTCCTAGCAGGTACATCGTACCTGCTCTGCGATGTGCAACTGCCATGTTCCAGACCAGGGAATAACATTGGCTCCTCTGCAGATAAGCTAACGCTACACTCAGCAGGCACGCGTACAGGGGATAACAGCAGTGAAGGATTTTGGAGCAGAGCTAGCCTGAAGTGACAAACAGTCAGTCTCCAATGCTTACTGAACAGCAATAACATTTAAGAGGAAAAATTACCCAGAAAAGGGAGGTGCATGCAGAAGTTAAAGAAAATAAAACACGTAGTAACATCTGGTTTCAAAATCACTGACAAACGCAGCTCCAACAGATAGTCCCATTAGTTTGTTTTCTCTAAAGATGGGGAAGCTTGAAAGTGTCATTTCAGACAGCAGGAGGAAGGAATTCTGCCAGTCCTACATGCAACACGAATCTACACCCTTGTCCAATTGCAGAAAGCGAGGACCTGCTCTGACAACAAACGTAAAGCTTAAAGCTACATCTCTAACTCTGCCTGACAGCTGAGGGAAGGCAGTTGTCCCTGTACAGAGCACCAGGCTTGTCCGTACATATAGCCACCAGCAGCAGTTCCGTTTCAGGGCTCTTATCTTGCATCTGTCCTCAAAAATCTACCAATGAATTACCCTTCTTTTAGTTCACATAGATTTAGAGCTGGAGTTTGCTCGTCAGAAGGTACAAATAAGGGTGGTTGAGTTTTGCTACAAACAGGGATGTTAACTCAAATGTGCTACGGTCACAGCTCTAGTTATACAGAATTGAACTCAAGAGCACTTGTGCCATATTAAGGAAACAATGAATTCACATTATGAATTATTTACGGTGAAGAAAAAGGGAAGAATCATTCCATTACCTTTATGGCAGACTTAAATGAAAGCAATAATAGTGCCGTATGACTTTTTACAGGTTCCCAAACAGTCCATGAGAAGGCTCCTTTGGTGAAAGCCTTGTTATTAGCTGGACCCGCCGGTGTTGGAAAAAAAATGTTGGTCCACGCCATCTGCACAGAAACAGGAGCCAATCTCTTCAACTTATCTGCTTCCAACATTGCTGGAAAATACCCAGGCAAGAGTGGCCTGCAAATGATGCTTCACATGGTTCTCAAGGTACTGTGCTTTGTGTAATTCCCTACAAAGTTGGCTCAGTTCATCACATCTTTTGTGGAACAAATAGGGAATTGAATTGTAGTTCCTCCGTACCAAGGAACATACACACCAGTCATACGAGTGCAAAGCTGCCCAAGGTCCAAAGGACTACCAACCCAATTTGAAATTCCCTCCCTGCTTTCAAGTTTTCAAAACCACTTGTTGACAGCCAGTGTGTGAACCCCTTTAGAAATCACTCGTAGTAGCCATATTTTTCACGTTAACATTTGTGCAAGCTTTGTGTTACCTTGAATATGAAAAGCATCATAGATAAAGAAAATTCTGTTCTCTGTTTATACGCACATCAGTCAGGAATGCTTGCCATGCAGCGTTTAATCAAATACTAGACTGGGGGTGGTCAAAAATTTCCTCTCTGGGACTGTTGCTGTAAAACAGCTCTCCCCTATATTGCTCTCTGTTTACCTATCAGCAAGCTTTTCAAAAGAGGGAATCCTAGTTCAGGATTACATTAACAGAAATGTATGAGAAGTCTGGAAATGAAAGAAAGCATATGAACTGTGAAGAACATATCCCAAATCCTCTTCAGAAAAAAGACACTATCCTGGCAGGATTTCTTCCACATTCTAAGTCCTCAGTGTTTCTGCTAAGGAAGGAAGCTGGTAAACATTTCCAGACAAAATACTCTTAGAAAGAAAAAAAAACAGCACACACACTAGAAAAAGCCAAGTACAATATTTTTCCAGTGCCAGAGGCCTACTAAAAAGGCTGAATTCAAATTGGCTTTCCCTGGGATTTATCAGATGTATTTTATTAAATCCAGTATTATAGCAGGTTTTGTGACAGGTGTCTCCATCCCCAGAAAAGACAGGTTTCACATTTAAAAGCAAAGCAATCCCCAAGGACCCCATTTCTCGCTGGTCAGAGCGGCGCCTAAGGAAAAGCGACGGTGCTGTGATCATGCACCTTTGATGCCATAACACTAACGCTGGGTCTAGCACTCCCTGACACAGGCTAGTGCCATTAGACGGAGCTAATACTCCCTCTCCTCCCTCCGTTCTGCACATTTCACCCTGCTCCACTTAGTTTCTCTGCCCTCATCAATAGCAAAGCACACGTCTGGCTGCAGGCACAGCACACACGCCATCCTTTCCATCATTTAGTCCCTGCTAGAGCACAAGGCCTTTAAACACAGGAGAAAGGAGGGCAGCCTTTTTACTCCTGTAGAAGGTTCCAGCTGAAGATATTAAGGTTTTTTTGTATATGTGCATATATATATATAATATAGCCAATAACTGGAACATACATAAAATGTGTGTGTATATCTATATATAGATACACATATCTATATCTATACTTTCTAGCTATGAAAGTATATATACACATTATGTATATATGTACATAAGTCCAGATATAGGTATATAAAAAGCCTTACATTTTTCTTCATTGCTTAGGAGCAAATGGAAACATTATCCAACACCTCCCCCAAAATTATGGGGAGCGGTCCAACCTTACTTATCTACTGTAGCTTTTACAAAAGAGGCAATGATACTTCAGTGAACCTCCATGAGTTACCGGGATGGAAGTTGCTCACAGTCAATCACATGGAATAAGGGCTGTCCAGGCACTTGCTTATCAAAAGGTGACTTGTTCCAAGTGCAACAGCAGTACTGCTTCAAACTCTGCTCCTTTAACAACAGAGCAAACAGCACAGAGTATCTCTTTCCAAGGGATACATCGTCTGCATGCTTATTTCTGTGCAAACTCATATTGACATAGCACCAGCCTGTCTTAGCATCATTCAGATCAACTATGTTCAATTTCCATTCCCAGTTCCTTCGGTTGTGTCACCTCTCCCTGCCACCTTCTTTCCCCATCCCCGAGTCACTGATTTGTCCAATCTGTTGATGATTTAAACTCATTCTGTAGGTTCTCAGAGCCAGGCTGGAAACAATCCTCCATCCATACGGGCTTTCACCTCTGCAGTTACAATCCCTGTTTTTTGGTCTTAACGCCAAGTGTGTCTCTTGTTCCCCGACTCTGGGAACTCTCAAGTCCCTGCCACAGCCATCCACTCCGTTTGTCCTGCCGTCGGTTGCTGCTTCTTTACAACATCCTATGCTCCCATGCGGTATCATAGTCCTGCACCTGGGATGGAGTAGCTCCATGCAACAGCACAAAGAGGTCCAGGCTGTAGCCCACCAACTAGACAGCAGCTTTGCAGGAAAGGACTGGGGGTTCTTAAGGACAGCACATTGAACACGAGTCAACAGTGTGTCCATGCAGCAAAAGGTCGGCCAAATACTGGCCTATACCAGCAAGAATATAGCCAGCCTCTTAAAACAATTAATTATTCCCTGCTATTTGGCACTTATGAGACCACAGCTGGATTCTGAGTCCAGTATTGGGCTACCTTGTTACAAGACAGGCATTGACAAGCAAGCAGGTCCAGTGGAGAGCCATGAAGAATCAGGGCCTGGAGCGCATGAGATAAGCTGAACAAATCCAGTTGTTTCAGCCTAAGAGAAGGCTGGAATGAGAGGGAGTCTTAACTACTGTTTTCAGGGGCTTCATAGCCCCTGAAGAGGAACATACAAGGAACAGAGCCAGACTTTTCCCAGAGGTGCACAGCAGTAGGACAAGAGGCAATGGACACAAGTTGCAGCAAGGGTAATTATTTATATGCTAGGGGAAAAGTTTCACAAGGAATTGAAGGATAAGGAATTTTTATATCCTGATTTGCAGGAATCTACTTTACCCAAGCTGAAGCAAACACAAAGGCAACGCACATTGAAAACAAATTCCTTGACAAGAGGAAGCTGAACACTGGTATTTGCCCAAAAAAGGGGTTTTTTTCACCATGGTAAAAAAGTCTGGTGTAAACATGTTTGGATTATTGTAAGACTACGGTATACAGTGGCACACATAGCAGACAAGCCATGAAAGCAAACGGTATCTTGCAGCTGACATGTAGTATTTAATATTCACAGCTCTCAGTCTACTATCTGACACACCATAATACAGCTTGTTAAAGTGCCTTGCATGCAGGTGATCGCTGAAAGATTCACCACATCTCCATAATCAGACACTTCTGGTCATGTTTTTTGCAAACAACAACTGTAACTCTTGTCAAGCAAGCTTTCTACTCCAGCTTTCCAGAAGGGCCTTTATATAGAGTTAGTCAAGCAGAATACAGGCCTTCCACTTATAGTTGTACGTGAATGACAGGAAACATGACGGTTCTGTTATCTTACGATCCATGTAACCATTGTTAAACACTAAGATTTAGTAAATAAGAATTAGTGGTGCTCTGTGATAAAGGTGAAGTAACCTTGCACTTTCGATTACCTATAACATCTGCAAACAACGGAGTTTCTGTAATGAAGGAAGCTCTGGAAAGCATAAAATGACCATTAGGAAACTTTCCGTCCATAACTGAGTGTTGGCTGCTGGCAGTTGTTTCGTGGGAGACACCCTAAACAAGTGAACAGCATTGGAAGAAATGAAACTTTAATTTGTTTCAGATGCAAGAGCCAAATTCTTTTTTTCCCCTCCCTTATTTCAGGGAGGAGATTGCAAGAGACATACCAGCCCTGATCCAAAAGAGAGGCTTGTGTGTTACTCAAAGCAGACATTTTAAATGTCCTGCAGAGGAAATGACTTCTCATACCAGAACAGGAAAACACCAACATTTCAATCTGCTTATTCAAAGGAAACGTAAGGAAGATTAATATTGAATAGGAAAACTATTGAAAGAAGCTGCTAACACCAAGCCTGAGTGCTTGTGTTCTCCTTAAAGACACAGCAAAGCCTGCCAGGTCAGCTCTGCTTTGGAGTGAGAAGAGAGGATCTGTCTCTAATATAGAAGCACTTCCCAGCAGTCCCCAAAACAAAACTCATCCTTCAAGCATGAACCAGAACACGCTGGAATATTTCGATTAAGCCACATTTTCCATGTGCTGAGCCAGCCTGAACTCAGTGGAGCTCTCTGCCAGCTTGTACCAACTGATGGCTTGGCTCTCCCGTGTTCCCATCAAGGCACAAAACAGTGCTGCAGTGCACCAGCTAAAATAAAAGATGCAAAGAAGGATAGTGAAGGATGCATAGAAACAAAAACAAATCCAGAAAGGATCGAGATGAGAGGGTAGAATGCATGACTCCGCGACACAGAAGCGTAAAAATGCAGGTAGTTCATCAGGCTTAACTCCAAGGCAATAAAAGTGACAAGCACTGGCCTTCCATTAGCAACCATAAGGCAACCATCAGGTTAATCACTACCAGAGTGAGACAACCCCTCTCGGGTCCTTTACCGGGGCCACAGCAGCACACAGAAAGCACATTGTACAAAAAGCCACACATGGGAAAATGTTATTAGTGCAACACTGACCAGGCTAAAAGGTTGGGAAAGAGGTGGCCAGGAGGAAATACCAGCAGATGTGTATCAACAGTTCAGTGTGTGCTGTGCAGCCGTCTACTGAACAAGGAGTTTTACAGAGCAGCAAGCTGCGGAAATATTTCAACACCGTCACTGTTCGGGGACTCTGTTATCAGGCTATTTGGTTATACTATTTAGCAAGTCAGAGGTGACTATAAAAGTCTTATACCAAAAAGGAATACGATGGAGTTTAAGATTAAATTAGATAATCCTAGAGTTTGGAGGCAACATAATTTTCAAGTCTGTCATCAATTTTTTTCCACTGAATCAGGTTCATTTATTTGTAACCACTGCTGTATTGTCCTTTCAAATGGGTCATTTTTCTGGCAGTCTGAAGAACCAGGTACAGTTTACCCCAGTACATTGACAGAAGTCTCTGTGTATTTAGCATTTCCATGCCACACAAGACTTTTCCATTACAATTGAAATTTGGGAACAAGTACAATCAGCCTTTCTTCTGGGCATTCCAGAGCAATTCTTTTATCTGGGAGCAGTGCAGCTTGCTAGAAGCCTAGACCCTTGAAGTGTTAAATATCACCAGTGCCCAAACATACAGTGTTATTTCTGTGACAAAGCAGCTTCACATTGTGTTACTCTAATGTCGAAAAATGAAATGCATCCTGTTGGAAGACAGTATTTATAATTATTTTCTGTCTAACAAACCAGAACACAGTGGCATCATCACTGTAGCACTGGAATTATTTACCTGGTGAGGCTCCCATAGATAAGGTCTAATCACAGGTTTCAGCATCTTGCTGCTTTAGCTGCTTTGAAGCATTTCTGTGAATATAAACTACAGAGTATTGAACAGTTTTCAACAATAAATTGAGCTTTCAGAAAAATCTTAGTCTTGGGTCTTTCAAAAAAATTCCACCAAAGCCCTCAAGTTTGGAGGAGCCCTGTGCACATGTGCCCTGCAAGAATCGGGTTTCTGTATTTTCAAGTGTAGCAATTTAACTGTTAAACTCTGGCTCTCAAGTTTGAAAAGTTTAACCCAAGGCTTTCAAAAATGCTGTTTGATCTTTGATGAATGTTGACGGACAGCAGGACGAGAAGGCTTTTTCCATAATGATTTTCCTGAAGAGCAAATCAAACCTCCGTGACCCGTCAGAGAGCGGAAAAACAGGCGGCTGCTGGCTCGGTGCGGTATTAGAAGGGTTAAGGAGCCATCTGCTGGCAGCTCCGACAAATTGTTGACTGCAGCAAAGCTAATAAAGTTTCAATTACAAATTAATTATGTACAGTGCATTTAATTATCCATGGATTCAAACTGTCCATGGATAATTCAAATGAAGCACTTTCACGGGGGATATACAGTCTGCTACGTATCTGCCAGCAATTTAAATTAGATGCCGATGGATTCTGGGTGTCTGATCTGTCTTTTTTAAAAAAAAAAAAAAAAGAAACAGCCAGGCCCAAATGCAGTGTGTTGAATTTGGTTATATTAATTTGGTTAATATTAATTAACACCAGAAAAATATACGCAGGCCACTTTATACATTTAGATCATTGCCTCAAAACAGAAAGCTCAGGGAAGTATCTCTAAGAAACAGACAGGACTGAGCTTATTTGTTGTATTTCTCCTTACTGGGTAGGGAAATAAAGGGTACAAGAAAAAGACAACCACAGGTGTGAAAACAGTGAGCACTCTTCCTTAAGAGTTGAAATGAAACTATAGTCTGATTAAAAACTTAAGGCTCCATTTTAGAGGGCTGCTAACCACAGACGCTGTCTCTGGGCCAAACGGGGAAGATCTGCACATCCCCGACTGCAGCGGCCCCACTGAAGGGACAATGTGGTTCCCTTTGAAGTACACCAGCAGAGATCAACCATTGCCAACAGCTTTTATAGCCTCTGTAACCTCCCCCACCCTTATTCCCCATCACATCACACTGCAGCATCAGACACACAGGTATGGAGAATATATTGCAGAACAGCTACGTGGCTCCCCATGCTTCATACAGCTGCAAAGCAAAAATACCAGAAGACTGTTCTCCTCACGGAGCAAACGCACAGCACCTCTTTGATCGTAAACACGAGTGAACCGGGGAGAAAGCACCACAACAACAGCAAATCCCACAGTGACAGAGTCTATCAGGGTGGTAATGCAAGCACACGGTCTGTAAACTTGAGTAGACAGCATGCCACCAGCCCAATCTTCGCTCAGGGGAAAGGCAGGCTTCAACGGGAACAGTCTCCCACTGCCTCATCTCCCTCGTGACATCCTCTCCAGGCACACACAGAGCAGGAGTGAAAAATGGTTGTTATCTTATGTTTCAGAAGGTAACAGTCACCATCAGAAAGCCCCAGCTGATAATCCATTCATTAGCGGTGCTGAGTTCAGTAAGGGTCTCTGCGTCAGAGTTTCCACAATCACAATAGATTTCATAGTGGGTGCACGAAATGCAAATGCAGTTCTTTAAGAAGCTGTAGGTTTCTTTTAGCAACTTAAACTACACCTTTATTTTTCTTTCCAAGTCTTGATTTTACAAAGGATGTCAGTTATCCCAACTCTGCTATATGGTCATGCTACCACATTACTCTTCTTTCACCACTTGTCTCCAAACCTGTTTACAGACAGCCAGGAGCTAACTGAATTCACCTGCAAGTGCACATCAGGAGGACACTTTCCTGCAAGTGTCTGAGCCCTTGACGAGCAGGATACACAGCAAGAAAACCCTGAGTCAAAGGCTGCTGCACAGCTCAGTTCGATGAAAGCCACAAGCTTGCCCTCTCAAATGTACCTTGCAGAGTACAGTGTGCAGGCTTAGGAATACGCCAAACATACCTCTGAAAATAGATAAATAGGAGATAGATTAAAAAAGTATCTGGCCTTAAAATGGCAGATATTGTTGCTGTACAATTTTAATCTGTCATTTCATTCCAGCTTGTATACTCAATACACTGCTGAACTGAGAAGTTACCCCTTAAGTTGTATATGCAGATAAACATTCACACAACTGCCTGGGTCCACACATCAATTTCTGCAGGATTTTCGTATTACCTTTCATGATGTGTTTTTATTTTTTAAATCCTCATTATTAATGCTAAACATTTGAGTTCCTGCCTTCCAACAAAGGAAAAAGCTCAGTTTTCCTCAATGAAAGTGCTCTGAACTTGCACATTCTGAACTGCGGTGTGGTCAGCACACTGGAGGGAAGGGATGCCACCCAGAGGGACCTCGACAGGCTTGAGAGGTGGGCCTGTGCAAACCTCATGAAGTTCAACAAGGCCAAGTGCAAGGTCCTGCACCTGGGTTGGGGCAATCCCAAGCACAAATACAGGCTGGGCAGAGAATGGGTTGAGAGCAGTGCTGAGGAGAAGGACTTGGGGCTGTTGGTTGAGAAGCTCAGCATGACCCAGCAGTGTGCGCTTGCAGCCCAGGTGGCCAACCATATCCCTGGCTGCATCAAAAGCAGCGTGGCCAGCAGGTTCAAGGGAGGTAAATATCCCCCTCTACTCCTTTCTCTTGAGACTCCACCTGCAGTACTGCATCCAGCTCTGGAGCCCTCAGCATAGGAAAGACATGGACCTGTTGGAGCAAGTCCAGAGGAGGGCCACAAAAACAATCAGAGGGCTGGAGCACCTCTCCTATGAAGAAAGGCTGAGAGAGTTGGGGTTATTCAGCCTGGAGAAGAGAAGGCTTTGGGGAGACCTTCTAGCAGCCTTCCAGTACCTGAAGGGGGCCTACAAGAAAGCTGGAGAGGGACTTGTTACAAGGGCAGGTAGTGACAGGACGAGGGGTAATGGCTTTAAACTGAGAGAGGGTAGATTTAGATGAGATACAAGGAAGAAATTCTTCCCTATGAAGGTGGGGAGGCACTGGAACAGGTTGCCCAGAGAAGTTGTGAATGCTCCATCCCTGGAGGTGTTCAAGGCCAGGTTGGATGGGGCTTTGAGCAACCTGGTCTAGTGGAAGGGGTCCCTGCCCACAGCAGGGGGGTTGGAACGAGATGAACTTTAAGGTCCCTTCCAACCCAAACCATTCTATGATTCTAACTTGGAGGTACCACTTGACATAGTCTAGGACTGACGAGTTACTGCAAATAAAGTGTCACATGCTGAAGATGGCAGTTTCCCACTTCACCCTATCAGCAGCACCAGCAGAGCAAACAAGTTTAACAGCCCTCGTCTACCATGCTTTCCCCTTATCTTCAATCCATTTTTACTGTACAGACACACACACGTGCTTGGTGCTTTTGAAATGCATCCATAAAAATGAACTGCGGTGCTTTGAAGAAAGATGTTCATGACTTAATTCTTCCTGCACTGGCTGTCAGACACTGAGCTTGTGATGTATACCACCTATTGGATTTTGTAAGCTTCTTTCCTGGAAGCAGTAGTTTCAACTGGGGGGCAGGAGGGGGGAGCAGAAGAGCAGGGCAGAAGAATGCTGTCTCTCTCGTTACCCATTGACTCCAAGCTATCACTTTTGTTGCTGAGCAAACTAGCACGGCTCCGAGAGCCACTGGAAAGTGATTAAAATTTGGCAGCAGAATGTCTAAACCACTGGCGTTTCTATAGCAATAGGAAGAGTGCAAGATGTGAAAAAGCCTGTAGCATTGCTGCCATCCTGCTGTGAACCAGAGGTATAGTGCCTCCGACTTTGGAGCTGGAAAACCCATTTGTATAGAGACACGCACCCCCCCCCCCTTCAAATTTAACAGGTTCCATTTAGTTCTTGGGCTAACTGCAAATTAAATGCTATTTTGTAAGCCAGAAGATTGCATATCGGCCTATTTTGCTTAAATGTTAGTACCCTCGTTTCTCATGCAATAGCCATGTCTTGCCTGTCTCCCCATCTGTTTTGTCCTTGGAAAACCAGGGAGGGATCCAACGAGCAGGGCAGCCAGTGAAAAGCTGCTGGTGGTCTGTTGTGTGCCACTGAACTCCAAGTCCAGGCTTCCTTTTGCAGAACTGCAACTGAATTTGGGTTGAGAAGTGAAAGATAAGCATAGCAGTCAAAATGATCCAATTTGGGTTGGGTTCTTAATGTTAGATTCCTTACTAGAAACGGTTTGATTTGCTGAAACTGCTGAGCAGAGCCAGTGCTATCCGTGAGTGCTGAACGTTTCTGGAAAAAAATAAACCAGGCTAATTTTAACTGCTGAAATATGGATTCAAAAGCATAACTATATGCACCCAGCTATGAAATTGTAGCCATTTTAATCAACTTCTTGCTTTCTCTCCCCCATTTTCTCTTAGGTGGCTAAGCACTTGCAGCCTTCAGTTGTGTGGATTGGAGACACAGAAAAAATATTTTCTAAAGCAGTGCCGAAGGCTGAAGAAAAGGTGAGCTGCTCCTTTTTTATTCCAGTGCAGATAACTTCTCCTGTTGCATTACAGCCGACACAAAGGAGCAAGTGTATTTCTTAGCTTAGCACATACCAGTATGACCAGACCTGCCAAAGCTTGCTTGATAATAGCTTGTCTCACTAACATTTTTTTCTTTTAAGAGAGTCTTGTGACTTCTTAAGAGCCCCCAAGAGGTCACATTTCTCTCCTACACACCTATACTTGCTTTATTTAAAAATAGTCCAGTCACTGCTCATCAGTGCACTGAAAAGTAGAAGAGAATAATGGAGAATTTCAAAATATGAGGCAAGAAACTGAAAGTTAGGATGAGCTTAAGTTGTTCAGCTGTATTAATTTGAGAAATTGGATGGAGCCAAAGCGAACAATAAAGTAACAAGGATAAATTTCCACTGTGAAAACAAAGAGTCTATGTTAAATAGTTATGTTTACAGATTATTTTCTTTGGGCTCCCAGGAGTCCTATTGCCATTGCTTCCATTCCTTCCTCTCTTGTGTAGCTTCCCCACTGAAAGAAAATTAAAACACTGCCCAATAGGCACAGCAACTCAACCACCGCAGCAGAGAGCAATTCACCCGAAATCCTGATTAGATTCACACTGCTTGCAAAATATTTTACTGTTACAGCTCCATGTGAAAAATTAAACCTTTTTTTCTTAAGGTGAGTCCTGTGCATTTAGACTGTGGGAGGGACTCAAGCCCGTATTTTGGAAGGCCGATGAAGCATCACCTTGGATGAGGCCGTCACTTCCATGAGGGCTATTGAGCCGATGGGTGTGCAGTGGTTGATGCCCTCTAGTGGTGCCCACACCAAAAGGGAACCTTTCTCTTGGGCTCAAACCTTGACAGCAAGTGCAGATGGGGATTAGAAATAAGTCTAGGGGCTAAAGATTGCCTGGAGTAATCATGATCTTTGTCTGCTTTCATAGCCACCAGTGTGGAAAATTTTCTCACTCCACCCACCTCAGAGTCAGGGGTATCACCTCTGCCCCTGCTATCGCACCCTGAGACCTGCAGGTATTTAACAAAAGGTCTCCTGTTTTCTTGGTGGGAGTGGATGGCTCCAGGCTTGAAATCACTCATGTCCAAGATAGTTCACAGCATAGCCAATATTCGGAGCCAGAGAGCATGAAACAGGAGGGACAGGCAGTGGTAACTGGCAGTCTGGGGAGCCTTCCTCAGGAGCACTAGAATTTTGGAGAAGATGAGCTAAGCTCAGCCCTCAGAAGCCAAAGTGAGTGGAAGTCACTTTGCTCATCCCAGTCTGACATTTCTGGCACCATGTCTGAGAATGCGGTAAAAAGCAGCCTTAAATTTTCTTCGAATACCCACTAGAAAAGCGGTCTCTCTCCAGTCCTCCCCAAAGGATGCAAAGCAATCAAATAGCAAATACATTACGGCAAACCCAGTTGCCAAGGATGATGTGCAAGCAGTTCAACCACTCACAGTTAAACAAATAGGAGTCACCTTCACAATTCACCCCACTTTTTTCCAGCTCAGGTCCGTATGATGGCTGAAATCATAGCTTGCCTCTTCAGCAGCCCTTCTTGCTACTCACACATTTCTTTCAAAGTGGAGGAGATATTATTAGCTTTCAGGACACATCCCTGAAATGTGTGCGCTATGGACACACATTAGTTTCACAAGCATAACAGGAGCTGCCGACACAAAAATGCCAGTCTGGCTTAGTAGGCTTAACATGAGAGCGGAGTGTTTAGCTCAGTCTCGCTTAACATGAGAGCGGAGTGTTTAGCTTAGTCTCTGATACTAGTACAATCATTTAAAATTTTAAAATTAAGATTCCTGCAAGCTGAGCAATGTACGCTTGTTGTAACCAACTCTAGATCAGTGGGAATCCATGAATATCATTTGTAACCCAAAAAAATGATGTTCTAAATGCTGGGGATAAATTAGGACTTAATTTCACAAGCAAGAGGGGAAATAGGAGTCAGACGATCGTTTTAAAAATTCTCTGCATCTCCTGATAGAGTCAGTTTTTCCAGAAGACATACTGCAAGCCCAGAAAACACCATATCTCACTTGAAGCAACTGTTATTCAGCAAGATGGGATTCCTCTACTCCCCCACCTCCAAACCTAAAGTAATTTGATAACTCTCACTTTTCTAGCAATATTGATGTCTCAAAACATCTTAGAGAACATTCGTACTTTCTTCCAATACACATGAAGAGGAGCAAAGCTTGAAGCCTATGAGTAGCAGCAGATGTATAAATCACAGAGAGTAATTTAGCCAGCATAAAATGTGTTAAAATTAAAGTACATCAACATTTCAGTCATTGCTGTGACCAGAACTCCCTGACAAAGCAAAGGTGGCAAGGTTGGCTAAAACTTCCAAGGTAGATACGTAACAGCAGCTTGTTTAATCATCAGAGAAGTCAAGTTCATTACCAAAAGCTTCCCAACAAGGGAATGGCAAAGTTTGGATAAGAGCTTGTGATTTGAAGTCGTGCCCTCAGACAGTAAACATACTGTTTGGGCATGGACAGAGCGACATCCTTTCTTTCAGAGCAAGAGAAAAGCCAAGACTTCTCCTTTGCTCCAGGGCAGACCTTACAAGGCACATTCCTTGGGAGCAAGTGCAGGCATCCTGCTCTCCTGGAAGCGTTGGGTGCATAGGCACAACAAGGAGGAGATGAAGAGATGGCTGCTGGCATTGAGTGATGGCCATAGGAATAGTTCATCCAAGAGCAAAAACAGGAGCTCGATGTATCACCCTGGCAAGCAACATGTCCATGCTCCAAAGCGGGACCTAAGCCCCAGTGCTAAGACATGCTCAGCTCCTTATCATGATTAAGCAATTGGCAGACTTAGGAAGACGCATAGTATGACCATGACAATACAAAGAATGAGAAAACAGACATATTGTAATTAAGACAAGTTTAGCTAGAAAATAACTGTGTGACTCTACCCCAAACCTTTGGGGATTTCTTATTGATTTCCCAATTTCCCCTCCTCTGTAGCTTTCACTCCAGAGAACAGAGCTTTGTCTCCTTTCTGTCAGCTGTATGCTCCTGCAGACAACAGAAAAAGTGGATCGCAAAGATTGTACACGCAATGTAGATACACAGGTGTTCATTATCGCCTTTCAACTGAGAAGGTTTGCAGGACATTGTTTCTTCCTCACTGACATTAAAGACGACTGGTCTGGAGTTGAGGCTCAAGTTTCTCAGGGAGCTGCCTACTATACAATAAAAAAATTACAAGGTGATCTAGAGTAAGGTTTTCCAGTGAGCGTGGGTGACTTGGATGTTAAGTCTCAATCATTTCTGAAAAGAGGCTTCCAAGTCATTAGAATTCTCTGAATACAATACACTATCCTAACCCAGTTATTCACTTACAGCTTTATTAACAGTAGAGTGACACCACAGCAATTTGATTAAGCTTCTCCGACCAATATTCACTTGAACGTTATCAAATGTAACTATCCAATAACAGGTTTTGCTCGATACTCATCTGTTCTGTAAATAGTAGCTAAGTATTTGTTATAAAGTCAAAGAGTAGATTATTGCAAAGAAATGAATCCTGAGTTCAAAGAGCTTGTGTTCTCAGGTTAGAGCCTCAGCAAGCTAGAAATCACAGCAAAAATTAGGGAGTCTATTTTTCACATTGAAACCACGAGTAGGAGTTGGTAGATCACAACCTCCAAGAGCTGGGAGGATTCCACACCACTTTATATACCCTGGCAATTTTTCTGTCTATTAAGGTTCATCAGGTACACAGGTCCAAGCAATATTTCTCCTTGAACTGGAAGTCAGGATTTCCTTCTTTAAATGAGTTGTTTCCTTCCTGCTTTTCAATAACAGGACCAGCAAATTCAATAGTGAAAGGCACTAGCACAAACCCACAAATACATAAGCAGAAATCAAGTGTTTACTTGACTTTCAGAAGACAGAGGCTTTCTACTTAGGTTGAGCATCTAGTCTGCTTATACTAAATGCAACTAGACTACTGAAAAAGCACAAAATCCTGTTGTATATAGCATGTCTACAACTTCACCTCATTAACTCTAAACTGTCAGCATCAGTAACAACTCTTTCCTCCTATTTATATGTACGCACTGCAGATGAACCCAAAACGACTGGAAAAGATCCTCCCCAAATTCCTCAAGGCTTTGAAAGCACAGGACAGAGTGCTGCTAGTGGGAACCACCAACCGTCCCTTTGATGCTAACCTTAAACCTTTCTGCAAAGTCTACCAAAAAATTATTCTGATTCCTAGGCCTGACTACGCTTCAAGACTTGGCAAGTATTTCGAGTGATCCTGTTGATTGCTACTGTTTAAAATCCATGCTTATTTTCTCGTTATCCTCAGGAGTGACTTTAACCTCAATTTGTACCCCAGGTACGGATTTTCAATTAATTTCAGTATTGCCTAAATTTTCAATTCCTGAAAGTTTAGGCAATACTGATGCAGGCTACCCCAAAGATCAGATAATAAAAGTGGAAGCTGGGAGAAGGGTTTAAAATACTGTTATGTGGTGATCAGCATTTCTTCGCGAGTTGTTTAGCATGTACTGAGTTCATCGCAAGCTGTTTTTTCACTGTAGGAAGGATAAGATCCTATTTCAATACACACTTTTTATTTTAAGCTTTTCTTTTTACACAAGGATTCTGAATTTCTGTTATTCCTATCCAGTTTCCATACTCTAAACAATATACTTCAGGGCCTCTCCATAAACAGAACCATGCCTGGAGAACTGAGTTTTGTCACTATCAAATTCCACTTTTGTACTGACAGATCATGAGAGAAATTGTAGAAGCATCCACGATTTTGCATGCCTAGTCTATCACGTGCTGATAGACAGGCCCTCCCAAAGTCTGACAAATTCGTTGAGGACCCCATATGCCGAGAGTCAAAGCTTGTAATGAAAAACCTATCTTTTATTAGACCAACTTACATGGTCTAAAAGAAAACAGAAAAAAGGAACTTTCAAGCATGCAAGTTTGTTTTCAGATTTGAATCTGAAAGACCTTGAAGTCTGCAATAGCTTAGCATTGACTAGGAAGAAATGCTCCAAATTAAGCATAATAATGTGAATCAATTACTGCAAGAAAAATGGTAGTTTGTCCACATCCTTCAGAATTGGCTGATAGAAGGACTTTTGTTCCCGGAAGTTTAATCTTTTTTCCTGTGGTTTTATCACAGAGATCATGTGGTTTAATACACTTTTCTGGGTACTAAGGAGTCTGGATGTGGTGCCTCATAAGCAGAAGGGCTGTTTAGGTTCAGTCTAAAGATAACGTGGAAAAAAGGTTTTGGGCTATTCAGAATGGCACCAAACGCTTCGAGTTAGGACTCTCAAGTGTGTGTTTCTTCTACCAGCAGCTTCTAGCATGAGTATCCCTATTAGATATCACCACATCAAGGAAAACAGACTCCCTTCATGCCACTAGTCTCTGACAGATCATGTCCCAGAAGAATACAGTAGTAAAGGAAACCACGTTCAGGGACCTCACTACACAATTGTGCCTTGACTACAATATTGCTCCGCATAGTCACCTTATTACAAAAATCATGCAACTGTATTGTGAAATCCAGTTTATCCTGCCTTCCACGGAGGCAGCCAAGGTACTGAGATGATGCACGTTTGGGCAAGCTCAAGACAGGTTTTGACTGCCTAGCACATTGTAAATCTCTCCCACATTCAATAATTTTCAGAGTGTGGATGGGAAATGGTTTCTATGCAAGCTAACATGTGTTTCATGTTATGTTACAGCTGTGATAAATTGCTAACAGATAAAGGACATGAATAAGACCTAGAGAAAGGAGGTGATAGCAGCTGAATTTAGCTGTGTTCACTTCTGGGGATTGAACTGTCACATTCTGGGATTCTCACCACTAATTTGGATCAAAAAAAAGGGCCAGCTAAAGGGATTTCAACTGCAAACTTAAGAATGCCCCAAAAAGTTAACTCTTGACATTTTAAAGCAGATTAAACTTGTAGCTTTACTTCTTTGACATTGTCCCATCTAAGACAGTACCTGGCTTGTTCTTTAGCTCCAACTTCCCTGAAGTTCAATGGAAATATGATCTTTACAGTACAGAGCAACTCTCCTTCCAATCCTGACAATTTTCAGTGCCTGACGCCCAATTTGAGAACTAAAGAAACTCGTTTTGACAGAAAAGCCATGACATTCCAAATATTCATAGCCACCGTGCACAGCCACCTGTCTGCTACAACCCTCCCTTTTGTTACAAACCAGAATATTCCGATCTATGCACGATGGAAACAGTAAACACACAATGGAAATCATTAAACTGGAAGATTCATGATCCTATACTGGTTTCTTGCTATTAATCACCCAGCAGGTCAGTACCTCGTATTACGCACGATCCCACCTGCAACAGAAGCTGCAGCACACAGTATATGGCTGCGCAGTAGTGCTCACTGTTGCGTGCACCAATTCCTCGTTTCTGAATTAGTGATTCAGCCAATAATTATTGAGCATAGATATAATTCAAGTGGAAGATCACAATTTGCCTGTGTGAAAAACGTAGTACAAAGTTGTCAATAGTTATGGGCACAAGTCCATAGTATCGACGTTGCAATCGAAGGAAGAATAAGGCAGGTTTTCTCCATTACATGGCTGCCCCAATATCCAGTACCGTTAACTTTCCACCCAACATTTTCATACGACGTATGAGCATTCAAACACACAATACTCAAATCACAAATTGTCTGTCTCATTCAAGAACCTTTTTAATCTCTATGCATAATACTTCTTATTTTTTCCAAATGTTTTCATACGAGGCTTTAAAGGAAAGCACGGTGAGATGGCACGAAAGTTTTACTAAGTTTGTCTGAGACAGACCGTTATTTTACATAGGATAAAACGAAAGATGTTATTCCTCCTATTAATTCATTTTTGGAAGCAAAATGTCAGGCACTTCACAAACATTAAGAAAACCTTCATGTCACAGAGGTTCACAGCTAAAAGATACAAACAGGTTCACCATTTAACTAACAAGCAAAATGCCAATCACAGAAATTTACACCTGGCCTTTGCAACATGTGCCTGCATAGCTGGAAGCCTTTGGCTTCCAAACCAGACATTGAGTCCCCATAGCAGCCCTCGGTGCAGCAGGAGTAACCTGCGATCAGGGTCACGGAAATAAAAACAGGCTGTTAATATAGGTACTTAACTTTACACACCCAAATGGGAACATTCTGGACAGGTTCTCTTTCTGTGTATGCACACAGGCATACTTAAGTAGTTCTTTCCATTTTTACACACGTATCCGCCTCACGTTATGCGCCCTTAATGACTTTCTGAAAAGTACTGACTGGTAGCCAACAAACGATCACTGATGGTTTAAGAACAGATGTGCCTAAAGGCCTCTATGCTACAAGTCTGTAGATGAAAGAAACAGCAAACAAGAAAAGTTTGAATCTTGGCCTTCCTGACTGATATCCTTTATTTTTCTGTTTCAATTTCAAAATGCAAAAATATTTCTCCTGCTTTCCTTAATGCATGCCTTTGGCATTCTCTCTTTTTCTGGGTCCTGATGAGCAGTGTTATGGAAACACATCATCCTGCAGAATGGTGGAGCGATCACCAACTTCCTGAACATAAGCTGCCTAGCAAAGGTGTCTGATGGTTTCACCCAGGGACACATCGTCCAGGCAGTCCAAGCTGTCCTGACCGAGCTACGCCTCCTGCAGATGACCAGGAAGCCCCTGAGGACTGCCGAGTTCATGACTTCTCTGGCCAGACAGGACCCGGTGTACAAAGAGGAGGAAGAAACATTTAAGGTGACATTAAGAGCTATGTTAACTGGCTGTCTTCCATTGTCCCCTGCCGTGTCCTTGTCCAGGCACATTTGATCTAGAGAGCTTCTAATTCTGCTGATGGGTTGGCACATCATGATGATGTACGGCTCAACAGCACCAAACACCCGTCTCCCCCATTTTGGGAAGTTTGGCAGCCCAGACTGCTGGGCGTGCCAGGCAAACGGTCATTATTACAGGCAGCGACTCTGCACGGGCAGCACACCCGGCATACTGCTTTGCTGAACCTACTGCCCGCACCCAGTTCATGTTGAACAGAGTGGCCTTCACACGCGTGGATAAATTATGCAGGTGCCGTTAGTACAACGCATTGGTCCTTTTTCTTTCGGAGCTGAAATGTTCAGCAAGCCTGTGTATGTTATCTTGAGAAGGCAAAAAACCTGGAGATGCAGGGTCTGCAGGGTGTTCCACATAGGGATCAAATTCTAAGTCCTTATTTTAAATGATTTCAAACAAGAATTTTCTTGTAAGAGTTTTCATTTCAGGGTTTAAAAAGAATTCGTTTCTGCCTCAAACTCCATCCCTCTCCCTGCCCTCAGGACTATAAAATCCTGAAGACAAAACCCAGTGCATTTGAGGTGCATTACATGTACCTCAAACATACATGGATCACCCTGGAAAAAACTCCTTTTTCCACATGTAGCTCAGTAATTACTACTCTTTCTT